ACAAATAATGTGTTTCATCACCACATCACCACATCACCACATTCACCTCATTCACCCAATATAGCTCGATGATAAAAGGATGTAGTTAGTTCAGTGGCTACCCAGTCTGCGAGCCACATAGGCTTTGTATATAATTTCTAAGATCAACAATTGTATAACACATGTACACAACGATTGTGTTTGAAATACGTTAACCATAAGTAAACAAGAAAGTGCACTTACGAAGTCAATGCAAGTATTGTCCTTAAAATATTTACTTACTCGTGAGTATAAGTTGTATAACACATACATGTAAGTTTTGATTAAACAAGTTTGTATTCACGAAAGAAAAATGAGATTCCGCACAAGAAACCTTTGTACCGGTACATTTAGGTCATTAGGTTCATCCAAAGGAGAAAATTTTAATTGTGACGGGAACATGAATGGTACACCACTTGTTTTTGTGTAAGTGGTGGGAAATTTTACTTTTTAACACATATATCCCACCATTTGTATAGTGGCACATGGTGTACTACTTCGTGTGCCGGTTGTGAAGCCAAAAATAATCACAAGGCGACACGTGGATTTTTGGGTTAAAAGGACAAAATTACCCTCGAGGCACACTCGGATTCCTACGCACGAGCAATGTGCAATCATCCCTCAACCAAGTCAAAAATGCCCAAAATAGGTAATAATTTTAAACCTATTTCATTTATTCTCATCAAATCCTCTCCACAAGGTAACTCCCAAATCATTCTTCTTTTATTATATTAATTAGCTAATCAATTAGGAAATTATTCTATTAATTAGCTAATTAATTGATTTATTATTTAATTATTCCAATTAGCTACAAATCATGAACCTCACCCAAAATACCAACCAAGTGGCCGGTCCTCCTTCTCCTAAAAGGGCCGGCCACACCCCTATAAATACTACCTCATTCTCTCCAAAACTCAATTCCAATTCTCTTACTAAATTCTCCAAACACTTTTATCTCAAAATTCTAACTTTGGCATCGGAGCTTCTTCGGCCAAAGCCCCCCTATTCATCATGGGCGCGTGAGACTTTTGGCCTTGACCTAAGGTGTTAATTATTTTGTAGGTACAATTTTGTCCAAGAAGGAGAAGGCGGAAATTTGCATTCACAAATTGGTGTTTTCATTGAGAGTTGAGTCACACACTCGTAGAAGCCTTTCGCATCTAAGGTTTTTCGTTTTCTTGTTCATTTGTAGATTTTTCGTACGTTCTTATTCTTAGAATTTTTATTTCTAAAAATTCTTTAGTAAAACGTAAAAGAAAAGTACAATGGCAAGGGATTCGGAAACCTCGACTAACGAAACTTCCTATGTTTAAAGATCCGGATCGAATGATGGAGGACGAGACGTAGCCTCACCACGACGATCCACAAGGCTTAACACGATGCAAGAAGAGCAACTTTACCACCAATGAGCACTACCACCATGGCAGCCATGGGGATTACCGTGGCAATGGGAAATGGGCTAGCTCCATGGTAGCGAGCCCACGGTAAGCAGGGGCAATGAGGCAGCCACCAGCTTAGGCCCACGCCATTTGCAGCAGCAAGCTCAAGCCATGCCCTAGCCTCGCACCCACGTGCGCTATACGTCGAGAAGCCCACTCTCGTGGCCCAGCCTACTCTCGCAGTCCAGTTTGCTCCCGTGGCCTTCCAAGTAGCCTAAATCTATCCAAGATTAGTTTAACCATCCAGACTTCAAATTTTTGGGCCTACGATTGAATTGGGGGCATTTTCATCCCATTTCTCCATGGATTTGACGTTTCCCAACTCAAATCTCGCACCCGAAGACCACTACACTTCCGCTACTCAAGGTGACGCATTCCATCCAAGCTCTTCCAACCCAAATGGAGAACAACACTTGTCTCGACAAGTTATAGAGTTAATGAGCGCCCCCGCACAACATATGACCTTGGTAAATCAGCTCTTGCAGCGCACCGAGATGCAACGTGCCCCTGACGATGTGTCCCTAAGTAGGACAAGGGCAGATGAAGAACCTTTCCAGCAGCGTCCCAGTAAACAGCTACTTGATCAGTTATGAACAGAGCGTTATGACGAAGTACACTCCTGATTGGGCCCCCGAGATAGCGTATACTCTCATCTTAGCACACGGAGAAGCGTGCATTCTCAGTTAAGCCCACAGATAAACATACACTCACGGTTGGGGCCACACTCCGATAATGAACATGAGCAACATTCCAGGTGAAATGTTCATTCGCAGCAAGGCCCGCAATGAGTATCCTTCACCTCACATCAGAGTAAGCAACATAATGGACGGAGAGAAATAGTCACTCAATCCGGCTCAAGTTCAACCAGCAACTTGCGAGTTACCCACTCGCCTGCTAGGAACATACCACATGCACAGTAGTCGCAACATAGACGAGCTGAACACATGAAAGAGTAGCCTAGACTAGCAAGTCACGATCGGGGGTAGCCGAGAGCTCCGCTACCCTAACAAAAGAAAATTCAGAAAGAAGTAGAGAGGCTCCCGACTGAGCGATTGCTCGATTTCCAGAGAAAACTACTAACAATGCGCTCTAATGAGATATGACCAATAGAAGCGAGTCATCTTTCAATGACAAGATCGAGCAGACGGGACTATCTTACATAGATTGTCAAATACAAAGATTATTTCTGTTCTGACAAAGGTAGTATCTCAGGCTAATGGCGTGCCAATGGCAAGCAAGTACCAGAATGACACACTAGCCCAATTACCAAGAACCTTGGGCATACCTTATTCTCAAGACTCTAAATGATTCAATACTGAAGCTTCACATCACCAATAACCGAGCATTACGGACCTAGTGGTCCAATTCTTTTTGCTGCACATAACCTAGCCCAAGCCAGCCCCAGCTCTTCTTTCACAGCAGTGCCTACCAACTCCACGGCTCCCGGCAACAATTGATCTATCACCATGGCTTATAATCGTGCCAATCTTGCACCATAGCTCCCAACTGTGCCAATCTTGCCATGTGACTCGCGCCAACCAAGCCTCAAAAGGGTACACAACGAAACACCTAATAATGGCACATTAATTATGGGAGCAGCTCACTGTGCTTACACCCTTACGCGGGTTCCACAAGCAGTTCGAAGTCTCAAGCAGATTGTCAAACAAGACCTCGCAGGCTGAGGATTATTTCAGTTGTCCAATAGTCCAGCTTTCCTCAACTGCACTCATGACAATGACTTCCAAGCTCTCCAGTACGAGAGGGTAAACTAATTGTTTTCCAATGCGAAAAGGTGAACTAATTGTTCTCCAGTGCGAGAGGGTAAACTAATTGCTCTCATGTGCGAGAGGGTAAACTAATTGATCTTCAATGCAAGAGGGTAAACTAATAGCTCTCCAGTGCGAGAGGGTAAACTAATTGCTCTCCAGTGCGAGAGTAAACTAATTGCTCTCCAATGTGAAAGGGTAAACTAATAGCTCTCCAATGCGAGATGGTAAACTAATTGCTCTCCAATGCGATAAGGTAAACTAATTGTTCTCTAGTGCAATAGGGTAAACCAATTGCTCTCTAGTGCGAGAGGGTAAACTAATTCCCCGACACCCATCTGGGTAAGCTCACCAATACGAGAAGGCCACATAGCTCAAAAGATCAAATGCTTGAAGACCAACTAGGCAACAAATGGTCATGGGGCAGCAGCCACTTTGCACTCAATAGTTCACTCATTCGACTGCTACATTTACAGCAGTTGAGAAATCAAACTCAAGCAATTTCCTTATTTTTGGCAAGCAGCCTAGACGAGGCAGCCCATGCCATGCCACCTCATTGGCCCATGCCAAGCCGACTTCTGGCCCATGCCAGTCGACGTGCCGCACCACCCCGACAGCTGCCCCACGGTAGCACTACCCAAGAAGAAGACAAGGAGAATTAAGTTTTCTTACATCGATACGGCACAAAGAAGACAAAGAAATCAACGGAAGACGGTTCTTTGCACGGGCAAGCAAAGAAGAATGTTAGGGGAAGGGGAACAAATATCCTCTATTTTTCTCTCTTTCTTGTAAGGATAAATAATTGCCTTCCAAAGTTGATTTAATCCACTACTTAAGGTAGGCTTAAATAGACTTTGGAGGTGATTTATTTCTCTTTCATATAAGAATCTAATTCCAAGTCCACCATAGAATCTGCATCAAAGTTGGAGATCTTTACACCTGCTGCCCTTTCCTGTGAGCAACTTAACAGGTGTGGGGGCATTTGTGGAGCAAAAAATAATCACAAGGCGACACGTGGATTTTTGGGTTAAAATGATAAAATTACCCTCGAGGCACATCGGGATTCATACGCTCGAGCAGTGGGTAATCATCCCTCAACCAAGTCAAAAGTGCCCAAAATAGGTAATAATTGAAAACCTTTTTCATCCATCCTTATCAAATCCTCTCCACAAGATAACTCCCAAATCATTCATCTTTTATTATATTAATTAGCTATAGGAAATTATTCTATTAATTAGCTAATTAATTGATTTATTATTCAATTATTCCTAATTAGCTACAAATCATGAACCTCACCCAAAATACCAACCAAGTGGCTAGTCCTCCTCCTCCTAAAGGGGCCACACCCCTATAAATACTACCTCATTCTCTCCAAAACTCAATTCCAATTCTTTTGCTAAATTATCTAAATTCTCCAAACATTTTTCTCTCAAAATTCTAACTTTGACATCGGAGATTCTTCGGCCAAAGCGCCCCCCTCCCCCATTCTTCATGGGTGCGTGAGGCTCTTGGCCTTGACCTAAGGTGTTAATTGTTTTGTAGGTGCAATTTTGTCCAAGAAAGAGAAGGCAAAAATTTGCATCAACACTAGTCATACTAAAAAATCTCTCCATCCAAAGTCAGTGAGATTTTGAGCTGTCCCTCATTCATCAACATCGGTCATACTGAAAAATCTCTCCATCCAAAATTTTCCGAAACTTCCATCACTCAAATATTTCTAGTGCTCAAATTTTACGTTTCCACAAGTGACAAGTTATAACAACCCAACACCAACCCTCAATTTCTACCTAGTTTTTAAACCACTCCATGCGACCTAGTTTTCAAACCCATACGCTTTTGGGAGTTTCTGAGACTCAGACAGGTCAGTTTTTTCACTGAGGACTAAAGCAGCAAACAGATGGTGAACTTAGTGGCACTTCAGCAACCCTTGCTGCATGGCCTTATGAAAATGGCGGGGGTCCGACCCTACGCGGTCGAAATCGAACCGGGCACGGTCATGAACTTCTGGGTCCCGAACAAGACCCTCAACAAACCCAAGAAGGGCGAAAAGCCTGCTATGGTGTCGGGCCCAACAAAGCCCGTGGTGGTTCTCATCCACGGGTTCGCGGCCGAGGGAATAGTGACGTGGCAGTTCCAGGTTGGCGCTTTGACAAAAAAATACTCCGTCTACGTCCCCGACCTCCTCTTCTTCGGCGGCTCTTCTACCGACAACCCTGACCGCTCGCCGACGTTCCAAGCGGAGTGTGTGGCTGCGGGGTTGAAGAAGCTCGGGGTGGAAAAGTGCGTGGTGGTTGGGTTTAGTTACGGCGGGATGGTGGCGTTTATGCTGGCCGATCTGTACCCGGACCTGGTGCGGTCCATGATAGTGTCCGGTTCGATCCTGGGCATGACTCACTCGTACCGCGACGCTATCATGAAGAGGCTCGGGTTCTCATCGTCGTCGGAGCTTCTGCTGCCGAGCTCGGTGAAGGGGCTCAAGGCTCTGCTGTCTGTTGCTGCTCACAAGAAGCTGTATTTTCCTGATCGGCTTCACAAGGACTTCCTTGAGGTATTGATATTACTTCTCTTTCCGTTTAAACAAGCAATTAATTCGATATTTTCACATTACGTGGCCCTGTGACCGTCACACTCAACTTAAAAATTAGAACTGACAAAGCATGGAAGGCACAATTTACAGGTGATGTTCACCCACAGGAAGGAGAGGTCAGAACTCCTTGAAGCTGTAGTCAATGATACAAAGCACACAACCATCCCTAAATTCCCACAGGTAAATTAATCAAACCATCCACTTTGATTACAATGTTAATATTTTAATTTCTCCTCCAAAATTGGTACCATTAACTTTTCATGTTTCTTTCATATTTTTGCAGAGAATACATCTGTTATGGGGTGAAAATGATCAGATATTCAACCAGGAGCTTGCCCAAAACATGAAAGAGTAGGTTTAATGACATAAGACACTAATGAATTAAGATTAATTTGTTTGGGTATATGATTTTTATCAATAATGATATTCTTATCATATTTTTGTACCACAATTGTATACCACCTTATGTAGCATCTGATGTGGACAGCCACATCAGATGAAATTATCTGACGTGGACAGCCACATCTTACGTGGCATCTGATGTAGACAGCCACGTCACAATTATATTAAATGACTTGCGTAAACTTCTATGCAAACCGTATTTACTATCTATTATAATTATGATAGATTGTTTATTTATGTGCAGGCAACTAGGAGCAAATGCAACGTTTGAAGGCATAAAGAAGGCAGGCCACTTGGTTCATTTGGAACGACCTTGTGTCTACAACAGGCGTCTCAAGCGATTTCTTGCTTCCCTGCAGCATGAAGAAGACGGAGCCCCAAAAAAGTGACAGTGATACCTCACTCCTAGTATGTATGTATGTATGTATGTACTCTTTTCTGCATGTATTAATTCACTGCCTTTTTGTTGCAAGTAATGTAGAAGACTATCGTATTGTTGAATCCTTCTATCTGCTTAAAATTAGTCATGCAATTTGAATAGATTTAAGGTGAAATGTATATCCGTTCAAGGGAACTTTCACTTGAGAACTTCGTACGTCATGTTTTTGTTTGGTGATTATTTAGTTTTCAGCCAAACATGAAAGGAAAATATATGCGAAAAGCTGAATGATTCATTTTAAGTATTTACCGATAAGATCTCCGACGGCATTATGGTCTACTAATATTACTCTCCTTTTATAAATTAAAAGTGTCAGATTCGACTCATATTGATGATTATACCAAATTATCGATTGGCCCTAAGCAGTCCTTGACTGTTCTAACAGGCTTACAACCATTCCCCAACCTGGGTCCAAGCTCAAGATTAAATTCCTAGGAGGGGGTTTTCGCTAGAACACTAATTAATTGTACTGTGCAAGTGGGTCATAATCGACCCGCTACAATACATGGAACGATTCGGAGGACAATATTGGTACCAAATATCAATGTCGCATTACTAACGCTATAGAGCTCGTTTGGATGTGCTTTTGAAATGACTGAAAGCGTTTTTGGTGAAAATGTTTTCGGAACCAATTCTTAGTAAAATGCAAGTAAATTTTGGAAAAACACTTAAAGTGCTTTCTGGAAGAAGCACAAGTTATCCAAGAGAACCAAAAAATATTTTCTCTAAACGCGGTTTCAGTAATTTAAAAAACACATCCAAATGAGCTCATATTGAAGCGTTGGTATCAAATGGATTAATCCAATGGACCGGGTAAGAGCTTATTGGGCAGGAAAGCCCAATATATCAATTGGATCAGGGCCTGTACACTTTACCTCCAAGACGCGGTTACCAACAAAGAGAGGTTACATAAAGTCGTTTCCTAGAACAGCTGCGCAGATTGTCACTGATTCATCGGTACCACCATCATCGCCACCGTAATGGCCAAGCGTGCGAAACCTCAAATACAAACCCAAATTTCCGAAAACCCTTCCGTCTCCTCCAAAATCCCATTCCGACCCCGCAAAATCTTAAAAGTATCCAACACCCCCAACGCCGCCAAGCCCTCTCCCTCCTCCCCCGCGCTCCCCAAAACCCTAATCCCACTAACCTCCCAATCCGAAATCAATCTCGCCCTCCAACACTTGCGGAGTTCCGACCCGAATTTAACAGCCCTGATCGACTCCTACACCCCGCCGTCCTTCGATTCCAGCCGTCCACCTTTCATATCCCTTGCAAGAAGCATTATTTACCAGCAACTCGCCACCAAAGCCGCCCAATCGATCTACAACCGGTTTGTTTCGCTCTGCGGCGGCGAGGCCTCGGTGATTTCCGATGTCGTTTTGTCGCTCTCGGCCCAGCAGCTCAGGACAATCGGCATCTCGGCCCGAAAAGCTTCGTATCTTCACGACCTGGCCGAGAAGTACAGCGATGGAACTTTGTCCGATACGTCGATTCTCGAAATGGACGATGAGGCTCTGCTCACAATGCTGACTCTGGTGAAGGGAATTGGGGTTTGGTCGGTCCACATGTTCATGATTTTCTCGCTTCGCCGGCCGGACGTGCTTCCGATTGGCGATCTCAGCGTGAGGAAAGGAGTGAAGTTGTTGTATGGGTTGAAGGAGTTGCCGAAGCCGTGGGAGATGGACGAGCTGTGTGAGAAATGGAGGCCTTATAGGTCTGTTGGTTCATGGTACATGTGGAAGTACATGGAGGCCAAGGGGGTCTTGTAGCAGAAATTGAGGAGGCTCAGCTCATATGGTTTCGAGCTTTATGAAACTCCCGGGTAATCGCCATTTTGCTCTGAATTTCGTGATCTGTTGCATTGTTATTGAATAACTTTTTAGTTTGTATATATGTTGTAGGATTGAATTTCTGTTCGAGTTCACTGGTTTCTTAGATTGAAAGTATGAAACTTGAAATTATGTTTCTGTAATCTATTGGTTCTGTAATAGAAGATGAGGTTTTACCGTTTTAGTATTTGCTTGTGAAAAATTGAGCCGGAAGATTCAGTTCTATTTGAAAGTTGTCTAAATGTAGCATCACTTGAGGTGTGATGCCACATTTGATAATTGTATGACGAGTGACGACGAATGATTTGATTGGGATATATAAGCATCATAAATAAAACACCACTTGTGGATTATGTCTCTGTTTATGCTGCCTTGCCGATATTAAGTTATGCTACCATCTTAATCATATGGCCAACAATGGTGATCTTCAGTTCCTTCATTTGTTATGTTAATCTGAATGTTTTTTTTTCTTTTCTGGACTTGTGCTCTTGTGTTAGAGTCTTGACCTAAACCTCAGTTATTTTTCTAGCTAGATTCTGAGTTGCTCTCGGGTTTGAGTTCCTGACTGAAACCTTGGATGTTCTTCAAGATTTGAGCTATCTACCTGCTGGTATCTTAGCTTCTAACCGAGATTTTAGTATAAGAGTTACTAGTTAACCAGCACGTTTAGGTCGTAAGAGTAAATGGTTGTAGGAGGTGAAATGACCCTTAGTTATGCTCAGAGATGGTGTTCTACAAATAAAAGGTACTCCTTACCATGTTCATGTTTTATGTGTTCCCATGTGCTTGCATTTTGAATGATACAGAACAAACTAGATATTCAGTTTAGATTACTTATAAAGATTTATTAGTACTTTGTACTGAAAAAAGAGAAAATTTGCTAGTACTTGAAGTGTTGGTGACCCGGTCTATACAGGTATGAACTTATTCAGTTAAGATACGTGGTCGCTGTATGTTAGCATTATCCTTTTCTGCAGTAGCATATTCTCGGTTTAAGGTTAACAAGGGACTCTATAGATCTTTTGTGTTTAATTGATACATTAAGCTCTGTTTGAAGTTGGTTCTAGCACTGTCCATTTCCCATAGAAACTTCAATGTTGCTGTTCAATCCTTATTATTATATTTTCTTCCGGTTGAAGTTTTATATTTCTAGATACCGTCGCTTGCCTTTGATCTTCTTGTATTGAGTATTGAATTGACTTGGACCATGTATATTTGAGTGCCACTACATAGACGGTTAACCGAATCAAACTAATTACAGTCTGGTCGTTTCGGTCCAAGTTTTTTAATGTGAAAGCTGAATCGAATCACTCAGACTGGTTTGGTATGGCCTGTTTTCTTGAGTACCTACAGGCACTCAATGCTAACACACAGATGGATATGATCCAACAGTCCGCGGTCACTTAGTTTTAGCCGTTGGAATAAATCGAACGGGCAAATATGTGTTCGCACAGAGTGCCTTTAGGTACTCTACCACAACATAAATTAACAACTTAGTTATTCTTTAAGTACTCCATCACAACATAAATTAACAACTTAGTTATTCTTTAAGTACTCACAACATAAATTAACAACCTAGTTATTCTTGTAAAACTTGTATGTATATGTTTGTGTTTAAGTACCTCTTGAGCATTTACACAATGATGATGCTTGTTTTTCTTCACAAACTTGTATTCAGGAGCCGTGTATGCATATGAGTAAACTTGTGCAAAAATTGTAATTCTTTTTTTTAGTAACGGAAAAAGGAAAATAGAAGGTGTACAAAGCCAAATATAAAGATAAAATTTCGACCAAATATATATATAAATATAAAATAGGGTTTATTTTTAGTTATGTCCTAAGACTCGATTTTGATTCCACTTTATCTTTTGTAACTTAAAAGTCATCACTTTACTCTTTGAAACTCAAAATTTGCTCTACTTTACCATGTTTTTGTTTCTTCTGTCAAATACGCTATATTTGTATCATACTTTGTCCTCTGAAATTCAAAATTTGTCATTTTACACCATGAAACTTCAAATTTACTCTACATTGCGTTAATTCTGTTAATTCCATTCAAAAGTCATCAAATATGCTGACGTAGATTAAAAAATGCGTATGTAAAAATAAGGAAATGGTAAACGGTGAACCAAAACCCAAAAGAAGGAGAACTACTTCTTGGCGTTGTTTATACTACCACTATTGACCACTTTGCCAACGAGAACTCTCTCCTCTCTTCCTCACTGTCAACCAAGCCTTTCCCTCACTCTTATTCTATGATTGATTTTCTATCTGTGGAAATTTTCATTATGTGGGTTTGATTTTGATGCACGAGGCTAATCAATTTCTTTTTTGTTTTTTCTTAGATCTCCGCAAATTAAGCACAACAACCTAAAAATATTCCAATCCTTAAATTTTTGCTTTTAAACTTAATATCTTCTGACTACTGAATGTTAACGCATAATGGACATTTATAATCAAATTCACCTCCATTATAAGTTAACATCAAACAATTCATAATAGAGATTTATAAGATGACAACTTTTGAGTTAGGGGGCAAGTGAAATCAAAATATAGTTCCAGGGGCAAAGTGATATCAAAATCAAGTTCTAGGAGACATAGCTAAAAAAAAGCCTATGATATTACATTTTGATCCATCCACATCATCAATTTTAACGAGTATTTACAGAAGAAACGGAAACATGGTAACATGAAACGAATTTTAAGTTTCAGGGAATCAAGTGGTGACTTTTGAGTTGTAGAGGATGATGAGATCAAAATCGAGTTTCATGGAGTATAGCTAAAAATAAGCCTATGAAATTACATTTTGACCTATCCACATCATCAACTTTAATGACTATTTGACAAAAAAAACAGAAACATGGTAAAGTGGAATGAATTTTAAATTTCAATGAGTAAAGTGGTTGCTTTTGAGTTATAGGGCAAAATGGAATCAAAATCGTGTTTCAAGGGGCGTAACTAAAAATAAGCCTATGATATTACATTTTTACAGATCCACATCATCAACTTTAACGACTATTTGGCAGAATAAACGAAAACATGGTAAAGTGGAATGAATTTCAAGTTTTAAAAAGTAAAGTGATGACTTTTAAGTCACACGGGCAAAATGTGATTAAAAACGAGTTCTAGAGAACGTAGCTAAATATAGGAATAAAATTAAACGTATTTATATGTTACTGATAACAGAAAGAGAAGAAACATCATATAGTGACAAAATTTATACGCACACATTAATTATCAAAAAATGATGGTATTATCTACACATCATTTTTTACCTCTTACACACCCCTTTTAATTTTCAATCGTCAAATCAAATGTATTGAAGAAGATCAGATAGAAAAAAAATACACTCAGTTTTACAATGCTAATACAATTCCTTGCTTATAGACATGTATTTGCACAAGTCAATGTTCAAATGCTAATACAGTTTCCTATATATATATATATTATATATATATATATATATATAATTATACAATTCCTTGCTTATAGACATGTATTAGCACAAGTCAATGTTCAAATGCTAATACAGTTTCCTATATATATATACAATTCCTTGTTAGACATGTATTAGCAAGTCACAATGTTCAATGTTCAAATGCTATACAGTTTCCTATATATATATATATCTATATATATATATATATATAATTGTGATTGCTCCATACTAGTCAATGTTCAAATGCTAATACAATTCCTTATATATATATATATATATATATATATATATATATATATTTATAATTATAATTGTGATTGCTCTACAGAAGATATGATTATGATGCTTATGGACATGAATAAGCACAAGTCAATGTTCAAATGCTAATACAATTTCCTCTATATATATATATAATTATAATTGTGATTGCTCCACACAAGATGTGATTATGATGCTTATAGACATGTTTAGCACAAGTCAATATTCAACTATAAGTTAATATATTAGACACACACAAGGACACATGACATGACATGACAAGACAAGAGAATAGTATCATCACTTTGGTAAGTTCCATTCAAATAATTGTTACCTAACAGTGTATTTGATGAAATACCTTAACTTTTGTGGTTCCGTTGAAAATAAAATAAAACCTTCCTCAATTCTGAAGAGAGAGAATTCTTGTCGGATTCTTTTTGTAAGGATTTCAGAGATTTTCAAATCATATCCGTTTATTGTATATCGTGTGATCAATTTTCGTAAGATACTGTTTATATTCAATTTTAAATAAAAAAAATTACAATGATTTCTGACCGCACGATGTATGATGAACGAATGTGATTTGAAGATTTCCGAAATCTTCACAATGAGGATCCGGCGAGTATCCTCACTCAATTCTTACAAGAATGTGCCATCTTTTGCTTGCTTGTTTCATGTAAAAATATAGAAGAGATCCGGATCTCTTCCACCAAGACCACCGAATCAAGTGATTCGAGCCTGTGAAATTTCATCCAACGGTCCAACTGTTTTGACCCCTTAAAAGTTATAATAATTTTTTACCGTTGGATGAAATTTCAAAGGCCTGGATCATTTGATTTTGTGGCCTTGGTCTTCGGATCCCTTCTCGTAAAAATATAGCATAAATGAAACCTGTTACAAGTAAGTTATTATGTAGCTAATTTAAGTGTCTTACAGGAAAGTATTACAACAACAATTGTGTTAAAAATAAAATAAAAATAAGAGTGCGAGCTTTGATGCAACGAAAAATTTGTTTTTTTTTGTACCCGAAAGATTACGGGTTTGAGTTGTGAAAATAGCTTCTTTGCAAAGTAAAGGTACAATTGTGTACTATAGACATTTCTCCTTATTCTCGCAAAACAGAAACCTTGTTAGCTTGGGTTCTATCTTTTAAAGAAATGCGGGGTTATTGATTTAGGTGTGAATATTGACAAAGTGGGGTTATTCGTTTAGGTGTGAATTAGGGTATTGACTATTGATAGAGTGCAGAAATACTGGAACAGCACCACTGCTGCAAATTAGAGAAGGCTAATGAGTATATCCTTGACCAATATAAATGCCTTGTTAACATGAATGAAGGAGAAAAGTTGGGGGGATTGGAGGTGACTGGTGGGCGTTGCACGCACCAGTCAACACCTTGTGTAATTAGATTCCCAACCTCGTAACCACCAAAGACCAAAACCACAAGGTTTTATCAGTGGAGTTGTCAATTCATTCATCTTATATTATCATGAGATTTTTTTTTTTAAATAGCAATATCATGTGACGGTGTAAATTTCATATTACAATATATTCTTGAATTCTCAAAAATAGACTTTCTTGAAATATGTTTATCACCACCATGCGAACACCTTGAGCCGCTACTACAATCACAATACAAATTCATTTATAAATAACTGAATG